CACTTCTATATGACGAGATTTGGGGGGGGGGGTGTCCCTAAAGAACAGACTCTCCTGAGATGCAGTGACATTAGCTCAGCCCCCAGGTCCTCTGCGCAGAAGGGCCCACCTTGTCTGGGGGAGTGAGGCTACCGTAGAGCCCGTTGCTCCAAGGGACTGTGGCCCTGGGGGCCCCTCCCTTCCCCCCTTGCTCTCTGCACCCCAAAGCCCCCGGGTGAGCTCATGCAGGAGGCAGGCGTGAGGTCAGGGCTGGCCTGTCTGCCCGGGAAGAGCCCTGCCTAAAAAGGAGAGGCTGTGTGGGGACAGCCCAGGCCGAGCGTCCGTCCGCTGGGACTCAGGCATGCCGAGAATGTCTTGGGGCAATAACTCTGCTAAACTTTGGAGTCTTTCCCCAAATATGGTGCGCAGCTTCAGCCACCGAGGAGGGGGAGGGGCGGTGATGTCACGGGCCGGAGGGCCGGAGCCTTTTAGCCCCTCTCCTGGGGCTGCGGAGTCCTGGCAGAGCAGCATCTTGGGAGCCTCCGAGCCAGCACAGCTGTAAGTGCCTCCCTGGCCCACTCGGCAGGGGCTGCCTGGGGGGGGGGGGTCTGCTTTGCTCCAGAGGAGAGAGGGGCTTTCTGGAGGGGCTCCCGGAGGGGGGGAGGGCAGGGAGGAAGGCGAGGTGAGAAGCTGGGCTGGGGCTGAGCATCCCTTGGTCCAAATTGAGCCTCTGCTGCAGAGAGAAGCAGAGCGGCTGGGAAAGGCTGCCTTCGTAGGCAGGGCAAGGAGGGCAGAGGGTCCTGGGTGGGGCCCTTGGCATCTGCCAAGAGCTCCCTGGGGTGCGCTCAGACTCACTGCTGTCCTTCTGGCCGGGAGACGGGGGGGGTCTGGGATTCCCACAAGGCTTTGAGGGGGACGGGGGCTGTGAACGGAAGGCGGCAGGATTTGCCAAGCGTGTTCTCAGTGTGCCCAGACGGGCGTGGCGGCTGGGAGTGTCTGGGGTTTTGGTCCTGGACGGGAGGGAAGTGAGGCTGCAAAGCCTGGGTCGGCCAGGCACGAGAGCAGCTGGGCTGGGCGACTGAGGATGGCAGCGGGATGCTCCCCCTTCCTGCACGTGAGGGCAGCTGTGCTGGGCAACGCCTGCTTCCCCTGGTCTGGGTGTGGGAGCAGGTCCCCCCCCCACAGGGCTGGACCTCTGGGACTTCTGCCTCCTTGCCTGGGAAGACCGGCTGGAGGTACCGGATGGAAGTCGGCAGGATCTTGGGACGGATCTGCCTCCTGTTTGTTGCCGTCAGATCAGGGAGAGGTGCAGCTGGGGCATCCAGCCGTGACTTCTTCAACGGGCAGGCGAAGAACGGCCAGCTGGCCAAAGCCCTGGGCTGGAGGAGCAGCAGGAGCCCCTGGGGAGCATAAGGGGCGGAGTGGCGTGAGAGGAAGTGGGCAGGAAGTTTGGTTTCCCTGTGTCCCACCCTGCCTAACAGCCATGGGGAGGCCTGGGGGCAACCGATGGAAGCCTGTGCCGGAGTGGCCTCCCATTGTTTTTCCTCCCTCCCTCCTTCCCTTCCTTCCTTCCTTCCTGGCGTTTTTCGACCGCCGGCAGAGCAGCCCAGCTGCCTCAGTCTCCTCGCCTGCTGCCTCCCCCAGACCCGTCCGGTGGACATGGCAAACAAGGGGCCTTCCTTTGGCCTGAGCAGAGACATCCAGGCCAAGCTGGAGAAGAAATATGACGATGAGCTGGAGGAGCGTCTGGTCGAGTGGGTGGTGGCCCAGTGTGGGGGCGAGGTGGGGCGCCCCGAGCGAGGGAGGCTGGGCTTCCAGGTCTGGCTGAAGAACGGCATTGTGAGTATGGAGCTCTGGGGGGGGGGGNTGCAGCCAGGCCCCAGGGAAGAGCAGGGGGTGCTGTGTGTGAGCCCCTGGGGAGACTTGAGTGCACCAACCCCCCCCTCCCAGTTACCTGCAGGAGCCTCTTCCTGGGTGTCGGGAGAGGAGGGGCCCATTGGAGGGGCTGCCAGGTGGGGCTCCGCAGGGGGAGGCTTCCGGGGGAGGGGAGGGGCCGCAGCTCAGCAAGAGTCCGGTGTGTTTTGCAGAAGTTCCTGTGTGTGTCTGATCTGGCACGCAAAGACAAGCGAGTCCTGCGGAAGAAATACCAGATCTACTTCTGGTGAGAGAGCTGGGTGGGGGTGGGGGCTGGTTGTGCGTCCCCCCCCCCAGGCCCCCCTGGCTGCACATTGCCAGGGCAACTGATGGGGGTCTTCTAATGGAGAATGTCCTCTCGCCCCTCCCTACATCCTTCCCCCCCCCCCCTGCAGGAATATCGCCACCATTGCTGTCTTCTACGCCCTGCCGGTCGTCCAGCTGGTCATCACCTACCAGACGGTAACGCAGCCCCTGGCTTTCCCCTCCCCCCCCCCGGCCTTGGCCCTGGCCTGTGCCCAGCCTGTCTCCCCTGTCTCCAGCCCTCCTGGCCAGCCCCTCCTTTGCCCCCCGCAGGTGGTGAACGTGACTGGCAACCAGGACATCTGCTACTACAACTTCCTCTGCGCCCACCCTCTGAGCAACCTCAGGTAGGAGCCGGGAGGGTGGCCCCCGCCTTGCTCCCCCCCCCTTTGGCCCCCGGGGCTTGACGTCCCTCCCCTCTCCGTCCCTCCAGTGCCTTCAACAACATCCTGAGCAACCTGGGCTACGTCCTGCTGGGCCTCCTCTTCCTGCTCATCATCCTGCAGCGCGAGATCGGCTACAACCGGGCCCTGATACGCAACGACTTCCAGGCTGTGGTGAGGCCCTTCCCGGGACCACCGGAGGGGGGCGGGGACCCGTGGCTCTTCCTCCCCCTCTGCCTGGAGTGGGGAGCTGGGAGGGGGCGGCTTCCTCAGGCGGGACGTCCCGTTGCAGGAGTGTGGCATTCCCAAGCACTTCGGCCTCTTCTACGCCATGGGCACCGCCCTCATGATGGAGGGCCTCCTGAGCGCCTGCTACCACGTCTGCCCCAACTACACCAACTTCCAGTTTGGTGAGTGGCTCCCTTCCGGGTCCCCGGGTGGGCGGCCGGGTGTGGCTCCCAAGGCCTTGGAAGGAACCCCGGAAGCCCCGCGGTTGGTCCCTGCCATTCAGCCGGGGAGGGCAGGGCCTTCCGTGGCTCAGCCGTGGCTCTTCCATGGCAGACACCTCCTTCATGTACATGATTGCCGGGCTGTGCATGCTGAAGCTGTACCAGAAGAGGCACCCGGACATCAACGCCAGCGCCTACAGCGCCTACGCCTGCCTGGCCGTCATCATCTTCTTCTCGGTCGTGGGGGTGGTGAGTGAGCACAAGCGGCAGCCCCTCTGGGCCCCCGTAGGAGGTTCATCCTTGGGGAGGCGCTGGGAGCCCTGGAGATAGCGGGGGGGGGGGCAGCAGACTCCGAGAGGGGATCCTCGAAAGGTGTGCAAAGCGGGGGAGGAACTACGTCTTCCCTAGGACAGGCCCCCCCCCCCCCCCCCTACCCCCGGCGCCCCCCCCCCCCCCCC